AGTCCCGAGCAGACACCGATCACGCAGCCCATCTCAAAGCAGTCTTCGCCCAAGCGAGACAATGTAAGGTGAGGTTCAATCCCGAGAAGTGCACGTTCGTGGTCAAGGCAGGGAAATTCCTCGGGTTTTACCAGACAGAACGAGGAATTGAAGCCAATCCCGACAAATGTCGAGCCTTCTCCGACCTCCCGACACCTACGTCAAAGAAATCAATACAAGTCATGAACGGCATGCTTACCTCGTTGTCCCGCTTCGTCGCGAGATCCGCTCAGCACACCCTCCCCTTCTTCAAACTCCTTTGCAAAGAGGCAGCCTTCGAATGGACCGAGGAATGTGAACGGGCGTTGCGCCACCTAAAACAAAGTCTATCCCAACCGCCCGTACTGTCTCGACCAGTCGACGGGGAACCTTTATTCCTATACTTAGCCGTCTCGAACAAAGCCATCCGCGCGGCCCTCATTCGCGAAACCACCGACAGGCAGAAACCCGTTTATTTCACGAGCAAAGCCCTACAAGGACCCGAGAGCAGATACCAACAGATAGAAAAAGTAACTCTAGCCCTTGTCAACCCGGAGAGGAGACTCAGACACTATTATCTGGACCACACAGTCATAGTACGAACCGACCAACCGGTAAAACAACTCTTAGGTCGACCTGACATGGCGAGCCGAATGTTGAAGTGGTCCTTGGAACTCTCTGAGTTTGACATTCAATACGAGAGAAGGAAAGCTCTAAAGGCACAAGCCCTGGCCGACTTCGTCGCGGAAATGACCGCTCACAACCCGCCCGCAGGGAAAGAACACAAGTGGACCATCTTCGTCGACGGAGCTTCCAGCTCGTCCGGAAGCGGCACGGGGATCCTCCTAGAAAATGAGGAGGGCGTAGTGATCGAGCACTCGTTAACCCTCTCCTTCCCAACTTCGAACAACCAAGCAGAATACGAGGCCCTGCTCGCAGGACTGAGGCTAGCCGAAGACCTAGGAGCACGCGAAGTACAAATTTTCATGGACTCTCAACCCGTTGCTTCCTAAGTCCAAGGGAGTTACCAAGCTAAAAACGACAGCCTCGTTGAATACCTAAACTTAATCAAAGAACACATGAAGAAGTTTGACTGAGCAGAAATATCACACGTCCCGCGCGAGAAAAACATAAGGGTCGACATACTGTCCAAGCTCGTAAGCACAAGAAAGAAGGGCGGAAACAAATCCGTCATACAAGAATCCATGTCGCGCCCGAGCATCGAAAGGACCTCGACCCCAGTCGAGGTGCACGCCATCGGAGACACTTCGTGCTGGATGACCCCGGTGTACAATTTTCTGACAAAGGGCGAGCTCCCTTCGGACCAGACAGAAGCGACCACAACGAAACGACGAGCATTCTCCTACGTGGTGCTCGAGCATAAACTGTACCACAGGGGATTCTCCATTCCCCCCGTGAAGTGCATCGACGAATCCACAGTCCCCGAGGTATTACGGGAAATACACGAAGGGATTAACTCCCAGCACATGGGCGATAAGTCCCTGGCGAGGAAAGCCCTCCGAGCGGGGTACTATTGGCCGACGATGCAGCAGGACGCCAAAGATCACGTTAAGAAGTGTGACAAATGCCAAAAGCACGTCGACATGCATCTCGACCCCCCTCACGAGATGAGCATACTGTCGTCCCCGTGGCCATTTGCATGGTGGGGGATGGATATCCTCGGACCATTTGTGCAAGGGACTTGCCAAAATAAGTTCCTCATTATGGCCGTGGATTACTTCACGAAATGGATAGAGGCCGAGGCCCTCGCGAAGATCACCTCGCACAACATCCTCCGTTTCTACAAACGAAACATCCTCGCCAGATTTGGAATCCCAAAGGCATTGATCACGGACAACGGCAACCAATTCACCGACCACGGGTTCCGAAACTTCGTCACCAAACTAGGAACCAAACAACATTTTACCTCGGTCGAGCACCCCCAAACCAACGGGCAAGCCGAGGCCGCCAACAGGGTCATTCTGCGAGGACTCAAACGCCGACTCGGCGAAGCAAAAATAGGGTGGGTCGAGGAACTGCACAGCGTCTTATGGGCCTATCGCACCACGCCCCACTCAACGACAGGCGAAACCCCTTTTTGACTGACATACGGCACCGAGGCCGTCATCCCCATGGAGATCAGGGAACCCTCCAGGCGGACAGAAATGCCTCTCGATGAGGAAATGAACGACGAAGCACTGAGAGACGAACTCGACCTGGTTGAGGAAATTCGATCAGGGGCAGCCCTGCGCGAGGCTTCTCTAAAACAACGAGTAGCCCTGCGTCATGACGACAAGGTCGTCAGACGCGAATTCCAAATTGGTAGCCTGGTTTTGTGCAGAAACCAGAAAGACTCCCGCGAAGGGAAATTGGCCGCGAACTGGGAAGGACCCTATCGCGTCTATGGCACCACAGGCACCGGGGCATATTACCTCGAGCAGCTAAACAGAGAACCTTTACCACGACCCTGGAACGGTGCTAAGCTAAAGCAATACTATAGATAAAGCCCTTAAACACTAAGGACTCTCGCCGTCGAACATCCACATCTAGTCAACAGAGAGAAATGTCTCGACCACGTAGATAGGCTAAGGTACAGGCCCGATCTACACCCAAACGACATAACACCGTTCAGCCAACGAGGCCGAACAATAATGCCCGACAGGGACACCTCAATCGAGCTCCACTGTCGAAGTACCCACATGGAAGAACACCCAGCTCGCGATGGGCAGTTCACACCGCGGGCATAAGACCTCGATCTGGGTCATACGCTCGACACGCGGGCTTCACTCTGCACAACTGACGCATTTCGAAGTACGTCGGACCACCAAAGGGGTCAAAAGGATATCTCCGCTCGAGGACATAACTTAGACAAATTTCATCGCAAATTAAATAGTCGAATACAAAGCTTAGATACGAGCAAAGTTAAACTTAAATGAACATCCATTGAAAAGTTTATACACAGGACAAGTTAAAAATGAACCGACCAAAAAGGCCGGTGATGTTCGGGGTTACAAGTCATGGCGCAACGGCCAAAAGAAATAAGCACGGGCACGCAGGCCCTAAAAATGAGCACGAGCACGCAGGCCCCAAAACAAATACCAATACGCGGGTACGCAGGCCCGACCAAAAACTCCACGCTAAACATTCCCAGGACTACCGACGTCCACCACAGAAGACTCAGGAGGAGGCACGACCTGGCCGTCAATAATCTGAGACATGAACCTCAATCCCTCGATATTCATGCTCGGATTTAGGATGGAGAGATGGCTGACCGCGGCCTCGAACCCATATGCTAAAGCGTCGACACAGTCTGTCTCAAGGAGGTGGATACGCGCGACCAAATCCGAACGGGTCCGCAAAGAGGTTGTCTCCTCCGACTCATCGTCAGCAGGAAGCATAGCAGCTTTTAGCTCCTCGACTTCCTTAGACAAACGTTCATTGTCAATCTCCAAGCGTTCCTTGTCCAGTTGGAGGCAATCCCTCTCCTCAGCAACCTTCCCGGAGTTTTCCTTCTCCCCCGCCAGCAGGTCGGCTTGTTCGCGAAACATTTCCTCGGACCGCTCGAGGGCCGCCTTTAACTTACGAGAATTGGCAGCGAGGGCAGCTTTCTCCGACTCCAACTCCCTAACACGGTCAGAGGAGTCCGACCCTTCTTCGACAAGGACAACGACCATCTCGGTCATCTTCACCATCCCGACCATGCTGGCGGCCAGGTGTTTCCTCCGGCTTTCTTTGTCGAGCCGTCTGATAGTCTTGGCCTCGTCATTGCTCACCGTCAGAGGAAACCCCTCGAAGAAATCTTTCTCTTTAAAATAGGGGGGTAAGCCGAAGGCCCTCGCAGCTACGGACTCGTCGCCAACTTCCGACCTATTATCAGCCCGACTTCTCTTTCTGGTAATCAGCTCGGTGGGTTGTTCAGCGTCAGGGGAGCCCAGGGACCCACTAGAGGCATCGCCCAAACTGGCCGGCGGGCCCATCCTCGTGGCTTGTGGAGCTCGCACTAGCCTTTTGTTTACTTTCTTGTCCTGAGTTAGTTTCAACAACCTCTCCCGTCATTTAGCCATGTCGCCTACAAAGAAGAGCAAAACTCGGGTTAGTTGCAAGCAAGCAAAAACAACGAAAATGGAATAAAACAATAATAAAAGCAGAAGCCAGAAACCTAGTAGATCTACGACCTGCCCGTAAGATTGACACTCGACGAGCGCCTTCGTGTCGATGGGACGAGCCTCGAATGTCAGGTACCCATCCTCGTCAAGAATATCATCCCCTCCCTCGTAACCCACCGGACAGGGAAGAAGCTGTCGACGTACTTGCAAAAAATTAATAAAAATGGGAAACTGTAAAAACTCGTAACAATGTTTTCTCGTTAGTAAGTAAAATAATAACTTACAAAAATAATGAAACAGGTCTTGGATGTGTAATATAAAATTATTGGGAGAGAAACTAAAAAGAAGTGAAAAATTGGATAGCATTGAATCCGTCTAAACAAAACGCTGAGGATTTAACAATATAAGCACATGAAAGCACTAGAATATGACTCATTAAATCTAAATATCTAATATCTACACCCATTCTCATAATTCACATAACTTAATCTAAACTATCTTAAAAGAAAACTTGGCACGATGGTTGGAATTGCTGCCTTGTGAATGAATACATCACAGGTTCAAGTTCTGAATCAGTCTCTATGCATGATAAGTTAGATAGCATCAAAATACAAAGTATATAAACGTAAAGATGTATTTTGAGAAGGAAATATATGAATATGAATCACATTATTTATGAACAAAAACTACATCATAACCGTTTTCTAGTTGCACCTAAACAGTAAGAAACTAGTAAAGAACTTTGTGCGTGTTACACACCACTACATGCCAATGGTAAAAATGCTACTACTGAAAGGAAAGAAAAAAACAAAGAACAATTTGAATGTCTTCATTTGCCTCAACGAACATGGGTTCCCCGGCCACAACTTATTTGACTCAAGGCTTCCGCGGTGGCAACGGAGCCCACGCTGGCGGCGGGGGCATTGGAGGCTGTGTTGGCGGCTGCGGCATCGGCGGCTCATCTGCTTTTTTTTTTCCCAAAAAGAGCGTGAAAGCGAACTGATGAAACATGAATGAATGATTACATATTTTCCCTAATATAATTAAGAAACAGCAAATGTAAAAGTTGAAATTTGAAAGCAAATACATAGAAAGAATCCATAAATGGAGATTTAGTCAAAGACTTATGTTGATAGATACATGCATGCAGATATATAAAAAAAATGAAAAAGAAAAAGAAATTCTTACCATCAAAGCTATAAAAAAAAACAAAATCAAAAGAACCGCTGTTTCTCCTTCGTGTTCTCCACCACCACCTCCTACTCTTCTTACTTCTTCTCCTCTACCTCCTCCACCTCCACCTCCTCCTCCCGGCCCTCCTCCACCACCTCTTCCTCTTACTCCTCCTCCACGTCTACCACCACCTCTTCCTCTTACTCCTCCTCCACGTCCACCACCACCATCTCCTCTTCTTCCTCCTCCTCCTCTTCCTTCTCCTCCTCCTCCTCCACCACCTCTTCCTCTTCCTCCTCCTCCATGTCCACCACCACCATCTCCTCTTCTTCCTCCTCCTCCTCTTCCTTCTCCTCCACCACCACCACCTCTTCCTCCTCCATTTCCTGCTGGATTTTCTTGCATCTCTACCTCTGCGGGATCCTCCATGGTTAAGTTTCAACTCTCAAGAGAACTTGGTGCTTCTTCAAAGAATGGAATATTAGACGAAACAGGTATATGAGAAGATTAGTGAATACATAATAAATTATATATAGATCGCAGTAGAGCTTTGGAATGAAAGTAACTAACTCAACTGAATAACGGTTTTCTACTTAGTTTGTTACTAGTTAGTTAATCAGTTACACTCTCTTACCACTGTTCATCACAAGTTTGTTAGTTTTTTTTTTGTTTTTTTTTTTTAATTTCTAATTTTGAATTGGTTAGCTAGCGTGTTAAATGATTAACTTTCTATTCAGTGTTTGTATTCCAGATGTTTTGATTACTTATTTTTTGATACAATGTTTTGATTTATTTTATGTTTAGTTTATTTAAAATATTGTTAAAAACGTATTCTTCATTATATTATATATTATGGTAACCTTTATTTTAAATTGCAATGAAATTTTAGGCATTATAATTTTGGTGCCGTAGTTGTTATGATCTGAACGTGAAATTAAATATTTCACATTTATATATTAAATTAAAAAATTGATTAACACTCCAGTATTTTTAAATTTAGTTAATCTAATAAAACAATGATATTGAATGCATATTATGTTTTAATATTATTTTATTTTAAAATAAATTCATATTTTAAATTTATTTATATTAAAAGTATGATACAGAACTAAAATTTATAGATATCAAAAAAATAATTTTAAAAATAAATATTTTTCTGTTACTTTTTACATGAAATAGCTAATAAATTTATTTTACTTTTCATTAAAATAACTTTTATACTTATTTAAACCAGAGGTATGAGAAATTAGGATTTATTATTTGTTATTTTAAAATTCGTGAATTCAAAGCATTCTCTTAATAATTTACTTTATTTTTAAAATTTTAGAAAAATTATTTCTAAATTTTTTTTAATATAGTGTTTTTTTACCGTAATTTTTTTCACTTTCTTCCTATCTTTCTCCTACGATTGGCACGAGGCTATCCTCTATTAAAATATTCCCCTCAGATTTAGTTTTTCCGACGGCCACGGTGATAAATATGATTTTGCAACTAACTGAAATAAAGAAAAATTAAATTAAAAAGATACTAACAACTATAAAATTAACTCTTTCATTCATTTTCATTTATAATAATTATATTCATTAAACACCTATTTATAGCATTGAAATCAATTAATCATTTCATATCTAAATCTTTCTAAAGAATAGTGATTAATCATTATTAATCTTAATAGTTTAATTACTCAATAAATTCTTTTTCTATCTCTGATGATTGTTCATTGATACTCTCATCTTATTGCAACTGTTGTAGTTTGAGCTTCAGATCTTCTTCATCGTGGAGTTGTGATTTTACGATTTAAGTCATGAATGGATTTGAGAATGATGGAAATGACCAATAAAAAAGAGAATGTTTGTTAGATTTTATTGAGAAAATGGAGTGTGTGAATACCAATATAGATTTGGTGTGAGTCGATGAGAATGAAATTCATAATGAAAATTTCACGAGATTGTTGATGATGAAAAAAATTATACAAAACTTTTTGATATGGCGTAAGAATGGATATAGCGTTGGGACTGATATAATTATAATATTATTAGACCCATGGTTTCAACAATATATAAACATTTATGAGAAGTTTTTTTTTTGAATAATCAAGTATTAAAAAAAAAATTCGCAAATAACCGCGTTTCAGAAAAAATTACGCAAATAACCATGTTTCAGATGACTCTTCAAAGGAGGAGCTATCTCACTTGGCGCCTACTCCTATTTTTTAAGGGGATGCGCCATCTCATTTGGCGCCTATGTGCTTAGGACATGTCCTAAGCCAAGTGAGATGGCGCCTAGGTGTATTTTTAGGGCAAAAATTGAATTTTTTTTGTCCGGTGCGTTGCGTATTTGATACAGGATCAACAAAATGAACTTTTTATTAAAAAAATAATATTTACATCAAACTGTATTACATTAAAAAAACAGATAAAAAACAGATAAAAAAAACAGATAAAAAAAAAACAGATAAAAAAAAACAAAAAAAAATAGATAAATCAGTGATCCCCCGGAACCCGGTAATGACCCCCGGTTCCGCAACCCCGTCCTCGCCTTTCCCATGCTGGGTGTCGTCGCGTTTCCTGCTGCGGCAGGGTCGATGGCCCAGCGAAGTCAATGCGGTCTGGATCCATAAAATCAATCAGATCTCCATATCTAGAAGATCCGCGTTGGTACAGTCGGTTACTCATACCCTCAAAGTTTGGTCGTGTTGGCGGTGGGTGGGGTTCTATGGTGGGTCTGAGTACGGTGGGTAGAAAGAAAATGGATCTTGGGGTGTTTGGTATTGAGGATGTTGGGTGGTTTGGTGATATTGTGGTTGATGGTAGCCTGGGTCGGTTTGTTCGTAATCTTCCGACATTCTCATATCAGGGCTAAGGCTGGATGTTGAGGGGCCCATATTGGGATATACGGAAGACTGAAATTGTGTGTGGGGTATGCGGGTGTGTTGATATTGTGATTGGTATTGTGGTTGGGTGTGAGGCATATCGGGGTATTGGTAGTGAGGTGGTGATTGTGGTTAGTTGTGTGGCATTTGAGTGTAATTGTATTGTGGTGGGGACTGTGGTTGGGTGTTTGTGGTTTTGTTTCTTCTTGGGGGTTGGTGGGAGGTTGATGGGTTTTGGGTTTGTTGTTGGGGAAACGAGGGTTGTGCCCATTGTGTGCGTGGGTCAACCAAGTACCTTGGATGAGACACGTGCATTTCAGGGTTACTAACCGACCTGTACCAAGATAAATATTGATCCGCGTGTCGCATATTACCATGATTAAGGAAAACCAGGAATTACAAGACATAGCGGTGACGCCTCTGCCACATCTTACACCATTCCGGAGCGAAGTCTTTCCAGTTGGTAAGACCCCACTGGGCGTCGACCCTTTTAAGATGCCATGGGGACAAACAAGTTGGATCACTTGGTATCTCTTGATGCATTCCGAACTGCATCTTCGCACGGTCGATGTGGTGCATCTCCACAATGTTGAACCGAATGATTGCAATCTTCGCGGTCCAAATTGTTGCATCCTCCGGGTTTGGATCATGGCCCAAACCCAAATATGGTCTCCAGACGAACTGCGATAAAATTTAAATCAGGTTAACAAAAACGTAATGTATAAATAATTTAAATGAAGAAAAGTTTAAAGTTACGACGTACATCATCCGGGCCTAAGTGATCCAACAGATTACGGTATAGTGCGACATTGAATCTTGGATTTTTGCCGTAATCCATACCCCTCACGCAATACCTAAAGGAAATGAAAAAAAAATTATTCTTAGCATATATTTGGTGAAGAGATGAATAGTAATAAATGATATAACTTGATGACTTACTTTGTTGCGTACGGGAAAATGAAAGTGTTGTTGTTGACGGGGTTTAAGGACTCCATCCTCCACCAACCCCAGGCTTGTAGTAAAAAAGCGCACCCATAAAATGTACATTTTTCCTTGACTGCATTTTTGCACAAGGAACTGTATAGGTGGGCTAAAACTGCAGAACCCCAACTATATTTTCTTGTTTTTTCAAAATTTCTTAGTAAATGTAAATACATAAAATTTACACTATTTCTCGTACTTTCGGGAAATAAAAAGGTAACAAATAGTATCATAAGATAAGTTCTGGCTTTTACTACCCTGTCTTGCTCTGAGGAATTTTCGTTTAATTTTAAACTTGCATAATGACTTTTAAGCTCAGTGAGTAGTATTCTCTGACCTCTCGCACCACCACCTTCAACCATATCCCTGCCCAACAGTTCTTCACACTGAGAGTTAGGTTGTTGAACCGACCCGTTCACGGCCTTACCATCGACAGGGAGACCTAGTAGCATGTACACATCCTCTAGCGTGATGGTACATTCACCTATTGGTAGGTGAAATGTATGGGTCTCTGGTCTCCACCTTTCCAACATTACAAGAATGAACTTCGAATCAATTGTGCAGTTGGAGATCTTTATGACATGTCCAAAACCTGCGTATTCCAGATATGGTACGATAAATGGGTCGGGAGCCAGGTAGTTGTGAGAACGGATTCTGAATCTTTTGGTGTCCTGAGTTCATAATGTAAAAGGTGTAAGATTAAGTAAGATGAACAAAGCATTATCTGAAGTATGAAAAATGTATAACCAAAATAGAAACTTACAAATGCGGCAATGTTTTCCCTTGTGCCTCTGTGAGAATCGCCCATTGTTAGAAGAGCCATTGTTTAAAATGGTTGAGATTATGAAAGACTTAGAAAGTGTAAGAGAGTATGAAAGACTTAGAAAGTGTAAGAGATTATGAAAGATTTCGTAGCAGAGAGTGAGACTTGTGTGGGTGTGAGAGATGTATGATATGATATGTATTTATAGGCAAAAAAAATTCATATAGTGGTTGTTGGTGCTTGCATGCATGCGAAGTGTCACTCTTGCAGGCTAGGTGGCAGCCTAGGGGGTTACATATATGCATGCATGTAAAAAAATGAAAGGTGTCACTCTTGCAGGCTAGGTGGAAGCCTAGGGGGTTACATATATGCATGCATGTACAAAAATGAAAGGTGTCACTCTTGCAGGCTAGGTGGCAGCCTAAGGATGTATCACGATTGGACAGTAAGGGAGGCACCATTGGACTTGGCGAAAGAGTACAAAAATGAAAGGTGTCGCCATCCCAATTGGCGAATAAGAGGTGTCCTTGGTTGCAGGCTAGGCTCAGGCTACGTGACAGCCTTTGGGATGCCATGCCTGAATGCATGTAACCCTATTGGAGGTGATGGGAGGAGACTTACAACATACAGTATAGGTGCAGAGTAGGCGCAGGCTAGGTGGCAGCCTAGGGGGTTACATATCTGCATGCATGTATCACGATTGGACAGTAAGGGAGGCGCCATTGGACTTGGCAAAAGAGTACAAAAATGAAAGGTGTCGCCATCCCAATTGACGAATAAGAGGTGTCCTTGGTTCCAGGCTAGGCTCAGGCT